ATTCTATTGCTTTGTTTTATAATGGACGTCTGTAGGGGATAACCTATTAGGTAAAAGGTTTGTTGACACCTCACCTTCACACCTACTCTTTATGGTTCAGGACTTTCCACAGAAGGTTACATGTTAACAGGGCCATCCCTATAATGAGGCAGCCTGAGGCTATTGCCTCAGGCGGCATCTCTTTGGGTCACGTGGGGGGTAGGTATAGTGGCCTGGTCAGTCTGCTGCACAATGTTTGCAGTGTGCCTGCCGCCCCCTTCCCGGTCAGAGCGTTCCAGGTTGCTAAGAGCTGGACAGGGAGATGTGCAAGGGCCATACACATCTCCCTGCTTAGCTCGTGGCAACCTCCACTCCTGGTAACCTGTTAATGTTACATCTTGAGAGTCCAGCACAGATTCCTGACCTCAACCTAATGAACAACTTTAGGATAAATTGGAATGGTGATAGTGAGCCTGGTCCATTATCATCACCTGTCCCAACAAATGCTGTTTGGGCTAAATAGGCCCAAATTCCCACAGACACATTCCCAACATCTTTTCTAAAGCTTTTCCAGAACAGTGGTGACTGTTAAGGCCACAAAAGGAGGGGGGTAAGGGAAGCGCCGCATTAATCCCAGTGGTTTTATAATGGGATGTCCAGCAAAGCACATATAGATGCCATGGTTAGCTGTCCAAAAACATTAAATCCTTTCACTAAAAATATATGTGCAGTGTGTTGGTGGAGCACTGGGCTCGAGGCTGGAAATTATATATATATATATATAAATGTAACTGGGATCTGGAGCTCTGGAGATCTCTTAGAGCTCTGGGTGGGATGAGCTCTCCAGTCCTGGGGCCAGGTGTTACCAATGACCAGTATAGCTGGATCAGGTGGCTGAGAGCAGCCTCATTAGGAATCTGGACCAGAGTTCAGAGAAGTGTTGGAGTTGTGTGAGTGCAGGAAGCACAGAGCCACAGCAGACTCAGGTGCGTGTGGGACACGTGGAACAGCCAGGGAAGGCTGGGAGAGGTCGGGAAGGTCGGTGACCCTAGGACCGCTGGGACACACTGCTGAGAGAGCAGAGTGAGGGCTCATGAGGAAAGCTACTGAGCCATATAAAGGACTGTCTTATGTTGCTGCTGCAAGCTATTTTGTGTTTTCCCTTTGAATAAACTGCATTTTACTTGACTTACCTGGACTACACTGGAGTGTCCTTGTTACAAGATATCTATCTATCTATCTATCTATCTATCTAGATATATTCGATTTTTAAATATATTATCATATTCTTCTATATGTACCATTGACTAGCCACAGTTTTCAATTATATTACCTCGTTATGATTACTAAAGGACTTTTTATTACTCTCTCTGATAGGGTTCAATCATTCAGCTATATTTATGTACAAATATATCTTTCACATTTTTCTTTGCTTATTATAAACACATCTTATTACTCTTCTAGGTTGTGTTTATATTTATCACTCTTTGTGAAGATTATACCAAAATGGTGATGTTTTTATGCCTTGATTTAACTTCATTTTATGTTATAAAGCATATAAACAATGATTCATTTTTATACTATAGAGAATAGATAATGATACTTTTATACAATAACGCATCTACGCATCTATGTTTTGTATTAAGATATTTTAAATACATTTTTATTTTATTCTATATTATTTTGTTTCTCAGCCCTGATGAAGGCGGAGTGTTAAACCCTGGAAATGCATTGGCTTATTTTATGTTATGCTAAGTAAAAATTTACTAAACCTCCAACATTTCCAAAAGGTGCTCTTACCTGCCTTATACGTCTTAACCTAGCCATACATAAAGAAAAATTTGACCGGTTCTAAAAATTTAAAGGAGGCTGGTGAAGAGTGACTGCAAGCAATTAGCTGTAGTCACTGTGTTGGGGTAATCTGACAGAGGTGGTGGCCAGCTATTTGAATACAATAGTAGCAGCAGAAGAGTCATCCATTCTTGTTGTTTAGCGTGGATGGAGGAATCTATTAGATTACATTCGTTCAGTGAGGAAAAATCTAAAAGTGTATGGCCAGCTTTAGGCTGAAAATAAATCTGTGGGGCATGCGTGACTGTGTATGAGATGTACAAAGTATTTGTTATACAACAGGCAAAACAAGCTTTTACAATGAATTTTGCCTAGGGAAATATTATTACGCAACTTTTCAACTCCCATTATGGCTTGTGATGACAAGTGTGCATTTTAGAATGTTTTGGCTTTATCCCATAGTATTTTATTTCAGCACTATTCTTAACTCCTTCAAGCCATTATTCAGCCAATGCCTGCCTACTGCCAATATGTTTGCTACAAGGAGCCGCAGTAACCACCGTGGAGGGAATCGGGAGTACAACCACCAGACTGCACCCTGTACAGGTAACATAATAGTTATATCAGTTATACTGGATAATGAAAATTGTCGAAAAGGTAACACAGAGCGGGGAACATACAACATCCAATCTAGTCTTAGCTTTTATTCTGTACACTGAACAGAGGAAGTGAAACAATAATCTAGATTGGCCGCCCTATGCTCCATGTTTCTTTGCTTTTTCATAAGTTAGCCCGCTAATATTGTAAATGTGTTCTGCATTCAAAACTTGGCAAGCAGGATTACAAATATTTTATCTACTTTTAAAGTAAATATGATAGATTTTTTTTATTACTGTAGTAAAAGCCGCTTTGTTATACTACGTATGCAGTAAGCAATAATATCACAGGTGTCCTTGGTAATTATATGTGGGACTTTTTCCCTCTTTGTGTAAAATCAGATAATACACATATGTGTAACTTGCCAGTACAGAAAGGAATGCACGCATAAACCAGGTAATTATTACAAAGATAGAAAATTGTCTACAGACTTCAGGAGAGAATAAGACCAAACTACAAGCCAATAGACCATTTGTAAGCCAATAGACCATTTATAAGCCAATAGACCATTTTAATGAAAAGCTTCACTGAAAGAAATATGAAGGCTGCCATTTCTGACCTTTTTCTGAAAATGTTAGTTGACTGCTGCCTTCTGCTTTGATACACTTTGATAGTAATGCAAGTCAAAGTGTAATCTGCGAACCTGTTCTGGGTCTTTGACTGCACCAAAACCATTGGATCATCATGGCATCATTATGTTGGTGGAGGTGAAGGCTGGAGTGTTTATCCTGTGAAAACGAGGATTTGCTAAGCCCTGTGCTTTCAGAGATGTTGGTTACTACCAGAGTTGCCTGCATGGGGAAGTGGTTCTATAGGGATTGAATTGTTTAAACAATGAAAACTTTCTGCCTTTAAAGTCTCCCAATTTAGTCCTTAAAATGACACTAAACTCAGTAGTTAAAGGAGAACTATGAGGCGAGTGCTTTTCACTCACCTCTTAGTTCTAGCCGACCTGTGACAATGAGACTGCCACAGGTCGGTTCAGTAGATCGGGAAGTGAGCGAACACATACCGGTGTTCGCTCACCTCTCGATCCTGTCACAGCTCTCTGCCGTAACAGGGGAGGGGCTGAATTCCCCGCTCTGATCCACCAGCGCTGACTGGCGGATCCGACGGGGGAAGGGGCGGGTACAGCTGGCTCTGCCTCTATAAATAGGCAGAGCCAGCTGTCACTCACGCAGCTGGGCGGATCCCGGCATAATTGTTGGGATCCGCTTCAGCTGCGGCGTCTCAGTATACCGCGAGCATTAGCTCGGGTATACTGTGGCGTCTCAGTATACCGCGAGCTGTAGCTCGCGGTATACTGAGCTGAGGGTGACGGGAGGACGCTAGTTTGTGTCCTCCCGTTACCCTAAGGAGAACTATGGGGAAAAGCCTTAACCCCATAGTTCTCCTTTAAACCTTAAAAATGCATTCAAGTACCAGAACTATTAACAAAAATGTATCTTATTTGGTATCACTCAACTGTAGATCCTCAAATCATCTCTGAATTGGTGCTGACACTGTCCTTCCTTCTGGAGGGTGGCACTTTTTGTTTCTCATGGTCCCTGTGTGTGTTGTAAAGTAGCCACTGCTCCTAGCTCCCTCCGGTGATGGACTACAATCTCAATACAAATTAGAAAACTAAATGTGAGATTGTAGTCCATCACAGGAGTTGGCTTGGAGCAGTAGCTACTTTACAACACACACAGGGACCATGGGGAACAAAAGTATTCCCCCTCCAGAAGGAAGGACAGTGTCAGCACCAATTCAGAGATGATTTGAGGATCTACAGCTGAGTGATACACAAATAAGATTCATTTCTGTTAATAGGTAAGGTACTTGAAAACATTTTTTAAGCTTTAACTCCTGAGTTTACTGTCACTTTAAATATGATGTGACACCCCCGGGACTAATAGGAAGGAAGAGGCAGAGTATGTAAAGGGGAGATTGACTTCAACAGAAAAAGTCAAGTCAAGTTGAACAGACACTTCTGTGTCTTTGTGACTGAGCATGGAAGAGCCCAGGGTAATATTACTACACTGTATCTCTGTACTACACTGTAACATTAATCTCCAAACGATCAGCCGCACAGAAGCCAGGGTAAATGTAATCCAAAATGTATTGAAATAAATCCAAGCAGATTCCAAAAAACAAGTCCAGAAGAATGATAAACAGCATATACATCATCATGAACATTTCCCACACCACGCCAACGTCCCTCACAAGTTTCACCACCTGGGCTTAATCATATTATTCAAAGCCCAGGTGATGAAATGCGTGAGTGGCGGAGGCGTGGTGTGGGAGATGTTCATGATGATGTGCATGCTGTTTATCATTCTTCTGGACTTGTTTTTTGGAATCTGCTTGGTTTTATTTCAATACAGTTTGGATTGCATTTACCCTGGCTTCTGTGCGGCTGATCGTTTGGAGATTGGTTTGAGTAAGTGAGGAGCACACTGCAGCCTGCACCCAGGGTATGGATTAATTGCAGCCGAAGCTGGAATGGAGCCGTGAGTGTATGGAGCTTTTTTGTACACTGTAACATTAGTCTATCAATTTGCCTATTAAGCAGAACTAAAGTATATTTTCTTTCATTGCGATTATTTTTACATTTTCAAATAAAAAGTATTGGAAGAAAAAAGGTTTAACCTTTGCGTACGGAAAGGATTCTTCACAGTTAGAGCTGTGAAAATGTGAAACAGATTACCTAGGAGCTAGTTCTAGCATGTATTCCTAAATGCACAGAATATTACTGGATATTGAGTTCTTATAGGTATAATTCAGGGAATATCTGATTGCCTTATGGGATCAGGAGCAAATTGAACCATGCTTCATAGGGTTTTTTTTGCCTTCCTCTGGATCAACATTGGGTAATTGTGGGCACAGCGTTCTGTTTAGGTTCTTCTTCTCCTCCTTCTACTTCATCCCTATAGGTTGAACTCGATGAACTTGTGTCTTTTTTCAACCTGACTAACTATATTGCACATATGCACACAAGAAATGTTATAGATCAGTGTTGAGGGAAGTAAGTGCAATTTGAAAAATCTGCAACTCCATGATGGTTTTCGCTCAGGTCAGATAAAAGGCTCAATTCACAAAACTTTATCCACAAGGATAAGGATCTTTATTTTCATCAATGGGGCTGTAGTTTTGTAACACAATGTAACACAGCTGAAAATAAGGATCCTTATCCTGGCGTGTTCGCTTTAAGAATTGAACCTCATGATGAGTCAAGCGACAAATACTGATGTGAACTAGCATTAGGACTTGTTCACACATACTGCGGTGACTTGTGCTGTGCTGCACTGGATCAGCGGAGGTCACCGCTAGCACACATAGAAAACAGTTGCTCCCTATGTGTCCCATTCATACTACAACGTGGGTGTGATGGCTGGGACATTGCTTTGCAATAAAATGCCAACATGTCACATTTTATGGCAGCCCAATGGATCCCACCGCAGGATGCCCCATGGGGACCTGAATGGAGTATACACATTGTACACGCCATGTAAACTTAGGGGGGAAAAAATGTAAACAGTGACAGCTCTAGGCTGTCTGCTAAAACGCTAAAATTTGTCCACAGAGTTCATTTCTCTGCAACCTTTATACATAGTGAGGTGTTAATCATTCTATACATGGTTTGAATCCTGTTAATTATTACTGCATGAAGAATGTGCTGTAGTCTAGCATATCAGCATTCTATATTATCATTGTTACCTTTATAGTATAGTCTACAAAAGAATTTCCCCTTTCACACTGAATACAGTATAAGAAGATCAGATTTTATGTTATGGGGAGGATAAAATACTGTCACGAGTGCAAACACAAAAAAATGGTTTAAAGAAGAACACCAGGGGAAAATATTATTAACCCTTGCAGTGGGGCTACCCCCACACTGCAAGGGTTAACTACTTGTTTTTCACTAGGTGACTATAACTTTTTTTATAGCACCAAACGCTGAGCTTACTCCCTGCATCTCTGGTCACTGAAGAGTGTCTCCTCAGTGTATAGAACGTGATGACTGTGATGGAATGGCCCGATCCGAACCCAGTGTACATCAATAACATGTGACTATACGTAGTTCTGAACCAAGCGAACCATCGCAAGGATGTGGCGATACCACTCCCAGCCTCACCCTGAACTGACCTTTCCCAGCTCATTGGACAACAATCTCAGGCCAGCAGACTGAGAGCGATCGTCTCTATGGTTGGTTAACTCACACAAAACAATAGCTGCCACCACGTGTTTAAAGGGAAACACAAACCGTTCTCGGCAAATACTGTGACAATTCAAAAACATAAACAAAGCCTATGATACCATTGTCCTTTTAGACAGGAATATGACAGGTTTCACTATACAGTATCACTCTTCACGGAGACCCAGATACTTTGAGTTCTTATTTAGAGCTTAGAGATGAGCTTAACAATTTTTAAGATTGTCCATTAATGAAAAAGAGACGGTGCAGGCAAAATACACAGAAAAGATGATAGAGACAGAAATAACAACATGAAAATGAATAAAAAGAGAGTACTTAATAGTCTTGAGTTTATAAGTTTTGACAGAGTCCAGTTCAATAAACAAAAGATGGATCTGAATGGCTTGGAAAGATTCTTTCTTGAGGTTAAAGGGGAACTCTTCTTGGATGTTGCACAAGCTTTGATGTTACAAGAGGCTCCATCTTTTTGTTAGTCCTCTAGGGGGTGTCATGGAGCCAGCTCATAAGGCCGTGCTGGGAAGGGTGAGCAGGATGGCTAAGTCTTTACGATGTCCTTTTCTGTTCCTCCCAAAACTGTCAAATTCATAACTATCCACATAGCTTAATATTCTTACCTATCACTGTCCAATAACCCCTAAATTATTGTGCGTCATGAAATTAGCTTTACATTGGGACCAAACTTGACGTATGTGTAAATTAAGGCTGGCCCAGAAGGGTTAATGTGGCTCGTCAGGCCTCTGACTATTGTAACCCACCCATGATTGATATGTGTGGATTTGTCTTGACTAGACACAGCTATTTATGCCATTCATTTTACAATATCATTCTCCATTTCTGAGATATGAAAATTCGATTAATATTGTCACTCTCCGTTTATGACTCTCAGTGGGATACCACACATTCGTTCCTTATCCACCAGGCAATCTGTAGAGAGTTAGCTGAACTATGCAAGACCATTACCATGGTATAAGCAATTTACAACACCGATCGTAAAAGATCATTAAGGATAATCCACCCCAGGCCAAGGGAAAGCTCTAGATAAACAATCCTGTTTGATTAAAGGAACCAGATCAGCAGATATCTGGTGCTGGAATTTGAGGATAGCTAAATAAAATTAGGAGGGAAGAGAGAATTTCATACTGAATATTGATATGTGCAAACCTCATTACCATCACAAGGATTCTTAAGGTGCCCATACACCTTACGACCATCGCAAGACCTTTGTCTTGCGATGGTCGTAAGCTCATTGAAAGCTCATACGATCTGCCCATCTTGGACGGCAGATCGTACTTGCGGGGCGGGCTTCCGATGACCGCAGTGAGGGGCGGGCTTCCGATCACTGCGAACGGGCAGCGTGCGCACACCGGCCCGTTCGGCAGTTGTTGAACAAGCAGGCCAATAACCTGCCAAGAATCGTACGATTCTCGGCGGGTTTTCAAGCCTGCTTGTTCGACAGAAGATGTGCGACCGTACAGTAGAAACGGTCGCACGACTTCCATACACTGTACGATTCTCGTACGATCGCGGGATTTCCCGCGATTCTCGTACGAGAATCGTACAGTGTATGGGCACCTTTAGACTGCTGCAGAGGAGGGGGAGAGGGGCTCTAGAGATCGGCCTAAGAACAAGCTGGCTCGATTGATCAGGTGAATATAACTTTTTTTTTTGCACCTAGACACAAATAGGCAGTTAACCATTGCAGTTGATACATTTCCTATTTAAGAGGGTGTAAAGTCATCCAGAAGAAATTAAGATCTGCTCAGCCACTATTATAGTAGCTGATGATTTGAATAATTAAATTGTTAGGTTCGCCCTGGAAAGTGACACTGAAGGGACTCAAACCCCCCAGTAGTGGGCCTCAAACCCACGCCTCCTGGGAGGACTTAACTCGTTAAAGTTTCCTGGGATTTGATTGTACTGCCAGTTTCAGAAAAATACTTGGGGATATAGAGTCACCCAAAATTGTGTATTTACTCTATATTCAAAGGTTTTTTGTTAAAACAAAAGGTTATATGTGAAACTAAACGGGGGGGGGGGGTGTGTGTGTAGCATAAACCAATTAAATTAATGCACGTATACAACAAAACTAATCCTGATAGTAAGGATCATGAGACAACCTTGGGGGAGATTTGCAAAGTAATCAACTAAAGGCAGAAACGGAGATAAGAGATATAATTTGCAAAGACTAACATTTTAGAAACATCTCAATCTGTTTTCTGTAGAATATACTGAAAAACACAATTTTGCTTGCTCAGACATTAACTGTGTATAACCCAGAAACAGGCACATGAAATGAATCACCCTTTTAGTCCCTCCTTTTATCCCAACGGGATAACACTATATAGAATATTCCCCTTATACTGGCGGAGTGTAGTAATGGGAATCAGTGGAAAAGATTGTCATTATTAGTAGATTAGAGATGCATGGCAAACAGCAAAACCCAACTAAGCAACAAACGGCTATAATTTATCCCAAACCCCACATATCAGGTAGCCACCCAAAGATCCAGTCCCACCAATTACCAAAAACAACCTGTTTTTATTCCTGACGCCAACTCATGCAAAGATTGGATATGTGACTGGATAGAAGTAGTATGATCAGTTAGATTAAAACAACACATTCCCTTAAAATGTTTGCTTTTTATTTGGGTTTGGGTTTTTATTAAAACTAGAGAGAACTACTATCATTGGGATCAAACCTGTGTGTGAGTACAAGTGTAAGCACATCCGACACTGTACTGACATTATTCCATTTTGCGTACAATTTTACCATTTAGACAAAAAAGGGATAATGTTCCTTCCTAAATAACCATTTTACATTATACATGCAGCCTACTTAGTTTCCATACTTCAATTTGTACATACATTCACATCCCTCATTTACACAAGTGATGGCAGCATATATACTGACATGCCTATTATATTAACAGTCAAGGAAAAGATTATTTGACCCTTCTCTTCAAATTTAGCAACAATCATTCAAACATTTTTTTGCAATGGCTAGTAACCAAACTTCCCTTTAAGCTTGACTTCTATTTAGGTCGTCAGTAGAACATGCAATCACAATGTCAAAGCTGATTGTTCCCAATCATCGGTAGCGTTTGAGAACCACCAGCTGTGCAATATGTCTGCAGGTGGCTCTCAAAGCTAGAATGTTTATCAATTTCCAAAACAGAAGGGGTAAACAAGCAGAACCCCTGTAATATAAATGGGCGGTTTTAAATTGGACATGTGCTTTTGCCCATGTAGACAAAAGCAAGATATTCACTTTAACAGTGACCCTACCAGCCCCAAACATTTCCCTTCACTTTACCACCACTCATCTGAATCGAAATGATCATTTTAACTATAATGTAGGTTTGTCAAGTATTAAACAAAGAAATGGTTTCAAAATTGAATGTATGTAATTTTTCCTGCAGGAGAGAATAGCAAAAGCCCATGGATCTCAGTGTGGGTTCTGCACCCCTGGAATGGTGATGTCCATGTACAGTTTGCTGAGAAACCACCCTGAACCCACCATGGAGCTGATTCATGAAGCTCTGGGAGGTATGAGAACTGCCTGTTTTCTTACTACTTGGAAAACAGTACAATAGCAGGACTGCAAAATCTGTTATATTGTAAAGGTGTACTAAAGAAAACCCGTGACCACCAGCAAATACTGAAACCTTGGTGCCTAACACTTCTTGTTATTTACTGTAAGCCAGTCAGTGTGATGGGTAGCCTGTTTAACCAGTAGTGAAGTGCAAGAGACAAGGACATGGCTATGTCAGTCACAATGGAAGTGGGTTGTTTCCATACACACAGATATAGGTTCTGGCTTTAGAAGATGCTCTGAGGTACACCAAAACATCTTCGGATACTAGTACCACTTTCGATTTTGGTTGTTAGCCAAAGGTTTACTTAAAATAGTCCATCTCTGGCCTTTGCTATTTGTTTGCCAGATATAAACAAAAATATGATAACTGCTTATTATAAAAAAACATTTGCCAAATACCGATACCGACCCTAATTTCTACTCTAACACACAAAAAGAGTTCATAGTGGAATGCTCTATTCCCATTCATTCTTTGTTGTTCACATTTTCTTATCTACTGCAGTTATGTGGAAAATATGGAATTTGCTCTTAAACAATATCCTTAAAGGAGAACTATGAGGTGAGTGCAATGAGACTGTCACAGGTCGGCTCAGTATATCGGGAAGTGAGCGAACACATACCGGCGTTCACTCACCTCTCGATCCTGTCACGTGTCTCTGCCGTGACAGGGGAGGGGCTGGATTCCCCACTCCCCGCTCCGATCCTCCAGCGCTGACTAGCGGAACGGACGGGGGAGGGGGCGGGTACAGCTGGATCTGCCTCTAGATAGGCAGAGCCAACTGTCACTCACGCAGCTGGGCGGATCCAGACATAATTGTCGGGATCCGCTTCAACTGCGGCGTCTCGGTATACCGTGAGCTGTAGCTCGCGGTATACTGAGCTTAGGGTGACGGGAGGACGCTAGTTTGTGTTCTCCCGTTACCCTAAGGAGAACTATGGGGAAAAGTCCTAACCCCATTTGTTCTCTTTTAAATTAGAACTCTAGACATCTATTTATGTAGTTTTGCATACAACTAGAACATTAAACTGTCTGGTTTTGGAATTTGTGAAGTTGAGGGTTTTTCACTTTACCAAAATATCAGAAATATTAATAAAACATCAGGACTTTGACTTCTGAGAGTTATGGAAGCTCCATTTAACTATCCTGAACCCATTCTTCTGTCTGAAAACTGCCTCTAATTAGCTGGAATTATGTTAGATATTGAACATAAAGGAAACCTAATGTAACGTCTCTGCAGCGCAAGCCTTGGATCACAACTGCGGAGAGGGTACTTGCGGTTTGATCAGTTGATGGTCTCAATTACTCACTTTAGTATCGTAGAGAAATATAGAAGACCTTTCACATCATATAAACCGTACTGAAAGGTTGTGTATGTCAACTGAAGGAAATAGGTGGGAGAGGGTTAACTTCTGCAGGGTTAGACTGTGGTGAGACCCGGTACTGCACAGGGAATCCCAGTAGACGTATACTAAGAGAGACAAGTGACTTCCTTATAATGACAGTCAGCTGGACTTGACTACAAGCAAGTTATACTGTTATTCCCCTGGTCACACAATACAGATTTAACAGTCCCGGCTTAAGTACGGATAGTACGGATACTTGCGGTTGGAAGAACACTCCTGGTATCTCCTATGGCTGATGATGGTGAGCATCAGTAGTCCTCTCTCTAGCCGTCCTGGTCGGCAAACTCAGACTTCCCCCTTGATGTGCCTTGGAGCTACCGCCTGAGTGGGGTTTGCGAGGTGCTGGTCCCTGGTTGCTGCGGTCTGCGGTTGCAGAGTGTGAATCTTCGGCGTTCACTGTTGCAAACAGTCGGACGCTGAAGATTCGTTTGGCCCCGTCTTAAGGAGCCTCGTGCGCCTGCGCTAATAGGAGGAGGAGCCGAGGGTCTACGTGCGCCGCGAGGAGACGCTACAGCCCGTTGTGCGCATGCGCGGTCCCGAGTCGTGATCCCGGGACGTAACGAGGTAGGCTTCTTACACCTAACCTTTATTACAAATACAAAAATGGTGAAATATGGTTTTCATATTAGTTAAAGTATTATTATTATTATTTTAATCTGTGCTGTCCTCACATTGAGTGCACCTACAAAATACAGTGGCAGCTGTCAGTGACATGGCTTTGTTTATCAACCATGCCACTGACATAGTGTCACTAATATGACTTGGTTAATAACAAAGCCATTGTGCCAACCAGAGTGTCAACTTGACAGTCATGCAACTAGAGGGAGATTTCCACACTGATGCTTACCTATTTCTTTCAAGACAGATTTTCTTTAAAAATGTAGTTAAGCTGCAAACATTTGGATTATTGGATTATTCAGGTGAATGCCATTTAAGGCCTATAGGCACCTGTAGGTCTTCCTGAAAACATATTTTCTTGCAGGAATAACAGCATACAAACTTTTATTTCACAAGCATGTATTTTCTCCTACCCTTTTTCCAGGTAATCTCTGTCGCTGTACTGGATACAGACCAATCATGGATGGCTGCCTGACCTTCTGCAATGTAAGCAAAAAGGAAAGAATCATCTCTTTGAAATGTGCTTCCCATTATCACACAACTTACTGTGATGTCAAACAACCAGCTGCACTTTTAACCAATAACAAACCTAACTTTACCTACCCGCGCCTCCTCTTTTCTCTCAATTAAGCTTTTATTTCACTATAAAGGGACATTTTTTTAGGGGGATGTAAGGAAATGTATGGAAGACATGCACATAATCTTGTATACAGCATGTGTATTTGGTACATAGAGAGACACTGTGACCTTGCCTGTATAGGGCAGATTGAAGTGTCTCTGTAAAGTGTATCCCCTAATCCCCATATACTAACCGTACCTGCGCTTTTTAGCAGCCTTTTGTTTCGATGCAGCCAGCAAATATACCCAGCACTTCAAATGTCGGAGGATGCCACTGTCCCTATACCCTGCCTGGGCACATCCTTATATTGCACAGTCCTTGGTCAAATAAAATATCCTAAAGTGATTGAGCATTATGGTGATCACAGTGATTTTACCAAACAGTCAGGGATTTGGCTGTTTTAAGAAAAGCAGCTAATATATGTTTAAGTTACAGTGGTAAATAACATTTGTTGGTCATATTAGCGAAATGTTATACAACCTCTGTCATGTTTTCAGTCTTTATTCCCATTCGCATGATTTGTCTTTGGCGTTCCGTAATTGGAACAGGAAGTGAGGGGAAATATCCCAAAGAGGTTCACAGACGGCAATTAAAACCCAGAGGTTCTGATTCTAATTCTGTCCTAAGCTGTTTTTTAAACTAAAATAGATGGCTAGTACTTTAATTTAAAGGTTATTATGGCCAATGTGTAAGTCTTATATTGTAAAGCCTGCATGTCCTACACCCAGTACTGCAGCAGTAAACCTTATAAGATTATTATTTTATTTTCATGTTTTAATTAAATTTTTTTTTTAGAAAAAGGATTGCTGTCAGCTGAAAGAAAATCAGTCTTCTTGTGTGAATGAAGATCCAAATAATATGAATGGAGTTAAAGGTCTACTACAGGAAACTAATAACTCTGCTTCAGCTTCTGTAGATGTAAGACACTTTTTTCACTTATCCATAGACATTCATGATTTATTGGGTATAAATTGTTTGTCCACACATCTGCATGCATATATTTTTTTCCAGATAAAATGCTTCCAGATTGATATAAAGGCATTGACAGTAGAGGTGCAGCGAAATAAAAATTTCAAAACCGAAATCAAAACAAATGTCAGGCCGAGACCGAAAAATGTTTTTTATTTTAACTTTTTCAATTTTTTTTACAATGTATTTTTTGTATTAATTTTTTATTAAATAGGTTTATTTTTTACTTTACTTTTAGGGGCTTTGGGGAAATATTAGGGGTCTAAACACACCCCTGATATTTCCCTTTTAAAATAGAAAAAGAGATTGGGGACACAAAGTCCTCAATCTCTTTTTTTCTGCAGCCCCAGTTATCAATGAACAGGAATCCTCTATACGGTGTGTTCCTGTTCATTCATAACATGAGAACATAGTGTGTTTACTATATCCACAATCATGAATGCACAGGAGGGGATGTAGATCACTTTCCATTCATTCATAATTGAGGCTATAGTCAACATACTCTGTCCTCAATTATTTACAAACACTCAGCGATCACTGAATGTTTGTACTCGCTCTCAGTTTCTGACAGCTGTCATCACAGGAGGCTGAGCGAGCGGAGCTCATCCTGCTGTGACCACACTGACTGTCTCCGCCCACACTGTTCTCTGATCTGTGACAGGATGCTGAGCGGTGCGGGGAGGAGAGACGCCGGCCGCTCACAACGCTCTCCTCCCACAGCGCTCGGCCATTCTGTGACAGTTTCTCTGGCACACACAGAGCAGCGCCCAGTGGGGAGGAGAGAATACACGGCTGCAACGCTGTATCGTCCAGAAAATGGCACTTTCTGCATTATGCCAAAAGTGCAATTTTCGGCCGATATGTTTCGGCGGCCAAAATATCAGCCTTGACTGTATAGGATTTATCAGGAGTTTCCTTTTTCTGTTTTATGATAGAATGGCACCACTCCATCCGCTTCCCCTACAAAAAATTATATAAAAGGGAAAAGGTATGACCAGGGCACAATGGATGCCTTGTGACCCCTGAACCTATTTAGCCTCTGTGTGTGCAGAAATGTATTTTCACACAAAGCATAATGCCGATGACTCCCAATATTTCTTCAAGATCTAGACATTGCCATCTGGTTGTGTCAGCCTTAAACAAAATCATTATTATTTCTGGGAGTGATCTATTTAGCTGAGAAGAAATCTTAAAGCAGCTCTGACGCTATTTACAAATATGAAAACAAAGTCCTTTCTTGCAAAGAGAACAGTTGATATTTACCTGTCCTGCTGCTCATGCTGTCAGTCTTCACCTTTAAAGAGCTGAGCTTGCTGGAGACTCTTCAGCATTTAAAAATTTTGGAGTGTTGGATAACTTGTCCCCCTCAGTGCTCTGTGGTTCCTAACGCCATCCCCACCCAACTACACAAGTAGGAGCCAGCAGATCGATCCATGGAATGTTGAGGAGGTCTAGGAAATGTCAGATGTTGAAGATTCTTTAGAAAGCTTAGCTCTGAACGAAAGTAGGCATGGATTTATAATGAAACGTGAAAATATTTGTAATTATTATCAGTGATTTATAATAATTCATATATTTAAGAACTGATTCTCTTTTGAAACCCAAAATTGCATTCATTCTTACGTATGGAAGCGCTCAGTCACAAGATTGACATTTTCTTAGAATAGGGCACATTATTACACACAATATAAGCTATCAGGTTTATTCACAAAAGGGTGAAGAGTTTGTAGAAGGCAGGAGAAGTGAACAATCCAGGACAACATAGCTGAACTGGAAAGTGAGCTGAATTGGAGATTTTTTTTCCAGATCAGCTATTTTGGCCTAGATTGTTCACTTCTCCAAACTCTTTACTCTTTTGTGAACAACCCTGCCCGTGTTGCCTAACACTGTATTTGTGTATGTGTGTGTGTAATATAAATACATTATAATGATAAAGAATTCTGGTTTGCACATAAGGGCTTTTGTATCTTTTGATATTTCCTTATTTGTAACTCCCTTATTAGCTTACCATTTCATCTCAGTAAAGACTAACTATTGTTTTTTTCAGATGTGCATAGGATTATTCGAAGAAGAGAGTTTTGTGCGCCTGGATCCAACCCAGGAGCTAATATTTCCTCCAGCACTCATAGTAAGCTTGTCCTCTATTTTTTTAGGTATCTTGGTGCTGCATGCGTTTTCATGAGAAGATTGTTGGAATTTGTACTTTGTGTGTAAATCTCATGGTGTAGGGGCAATGGAATTGGAATTAGCTGGAAGCCTTGTTTCTACGCCACTGTGTTTAACAATATTATTGACAAAAAAAACTTTCAAAATGCCAAAGAAACACTTTTAGACTTTTTCAATAGATAGAGCAATCTACAAAGTGCAGTACATTGTAGCAGCCAATCACATTTCGTATTTACTAACCTGATTCCAATACACTAAAATCTGCTTAAACGGTATGGGTTACTGCAATTTGCAAATGATCATAATGCTCAATATTGTTTAAATAGGCCAATCAGTGTAGCTTAGCACCAATGGTGGTACACAATCTGCTGTCAACAGTGGCGTATCCAGGGTATGGCACATGCCCTGGGCACCACTTGCTGGGGAAGGCACCATATTGTGGGTCAGCAAAAGTTTGCCAACCTACCGACACAGCTGACTTTTTTTCTATCCCCACCCCTTTTCCATACATACACATTTCCCCATCTGGCTCTTAGCAATCAGGGATGCTCTGGCCAGTGCGCCCCTAGCTTTCCGTCCAGCTCCTGGCACAGGAGCTTGGTGGGATGCCGGTCAGGGCGTCCAAGGTTGCATCTCCCCACCTGACTCTTGGCAATCATAGCGGGCGGGGAGATTTGTAGGCAGGCGGGGCACTCTGGCTGCCGTCCCACCCGGTCAGGGAGATGTGTGTGGCCCTGGTTGCCAGGATGCCAGGGGTGCAATTTGTTTTGTAGAAACGGCATCTGGCTGTCAATTTATGACCTTTTTCTTTAACAGTTCATTTCCCAGTAAGGCCTAGGAATGTAAGGTGTTGTGTTTTTTTTTCCACTTGTCAGCTAATGGACAATGAAAATAAGAAAAGTCTGAAATTTCAAGGAGAGCGAATTACATGGTTTGCTCCCGCCAGTCTCCAGGAATTACTGAAGCTCAAGGTTACATATCCAAAAGCACCACTTGTAGTTGGGAACACTATGGTTGGTAAGTGAGGAGTTATTTAGAAAAATACATGAAGATAGATAAATCAGTCTATAACTGATTATTTTGAAAGTATAATACGAGATTGAATAAATAATGTGACTTTGGCACCTGGTTAAGAACTTTTTTCAATGATCAAAGGAATAGAATAACCCATTAACCAGTCCGCTTTCAGTTATATATTTAGCTTCTGGTGTTTTTCTAACAAAACATTAACTCTGTATAGGTCATTCCTATGCATCAAAATGATGTAACAAAAAATCAAATACCAAGTTAAAGCAGTTATACAGGTTATATATCAACCACATGTTTTATGCATAGCATCCTAAAAGCAGAAATACAGAAAAATGATTGACAATTAAACTAGTATACAGTTCTGCTGATCATTCGTTAACTTTATCTTTTGAAGTATCATTTGTTTAAACTTTTTTTTTTTGAATTGGTAATGAATAATCTACTACCAGGTATATGGCCTTGTTTGAACACAAAGCAAATATTTGATTTACCTTGGCTGATTATCAATTTGTTGCAAAAGTACTGAGGCAGCTTCTGTTCAAATGAATGCATACGCATGTAAAAGTCATAATGTTTTATATATAAAATGAAAGGCCAGTGATTTGTTATAACACTATTATAGACACTACCACTGCTGACTCATTTGTGAAGCTTCATTTATCATCTTTTATCTTCCTTTACTACTTGGCTTGTTCTGTGGATTTGATTTACTAGATAGACTGTTCACTCTGCAAGGTAATTTGCACTTTGCAAGGGAATTTGCCATTAGTTCAATGAATGAGGTAAAGCTCTGCCAACTTCCATCACCCAGTTATGTGCAAGCAAAAATACTGTTTTTTTTTGTTATTTTCTTTACTCATAATTCTTTGCAAAGTGTTAAATCAACAAATGAATGGAGCTCAACCATTGAGACTTTTCAGGTGCTACATATTATGACAGGATATGTGTATTTTATGAATAAAACATTATTATATTGTTAACACAATTAAAGGATTCTGTACAATCAATATAAAAATTGCACCCCCAATAGCCCATACAGAACATAGTAAAAACCAAAACAAAATCTTAAAAATGATTGTAATTGTGATGTTATGACTACCGCCTGTTGTACTTTACCCTTATATTATCACCAATAATTAGGGATTGCTTTTATGGCAGTCCGTCCGTGCTTGTAAGATAGGGACCTTACTCTGTAAGCCCCTCAGAGGCACAGACTGATGTGCATTATGCAAAAGCACGCCAAACATTTCCTGCACTATATAAATAATAACAATAAAGAAATTGCTTGCAAATTTAAAAAATAATTGATCCTGGATGATCCTTCTGGACATGGCATTGTTCTTCAATGTTGGCATGTGTTTGTTTTTTACTGCTTCTTTTTTAAAAGTTAATTTATATATATAGTTTCTCTTTGGTCCACCAGTACACCAGTCCTGAGTTGTGTACGGGCAACTTGTGCAAGAGCACAACAAGTGTCAGCAGTTCCTGTCTAATATACCTTAATCCTGGTGTTCTGTGTGAGGTAACTACAAGTTTCAGCATACACATACATGCTGTCCCTGCTGACTAGTAATGATATATATTTAATGTTGCATTCATCTATCTACATATAGAGAGATGTATATCTATGGCTATCTATATAGCGACATGCATGTTGATGCACGTTTGTGGATATGCATATCCATGCATGTGCATATATCTGTGCATATATATGCATATATATCTGCGCATATAATGTGCAGATATATGCATAACATGCTTGTGCATTAGCATGCATATATCTGAATGGATATGCATATCCATACACGTATATGTATTTTGATGCACATCAATGCAGATATATTTTTGTTAATACACGTACATGGATATGCATGTTGATGCACATGAATGAATAGTCATTTTCATGCACGTGCATTGATTTGCATATCCATACAGATTATACATATGTTGATTTTATATAATGCACGTGCATGGGTGTGCATTTCCATGCATATACGTACACATACATAATATGTATATTTGTATATATGTGCATACCTATAAATGCATGTATAGATATGTATTAGACATGTGCGATTCGTTCCGAATCGAAATTCGGATGAATTTTCGGAAATTCGGACATTCGGATGTATCCGAATTCCGAATTACAGATATAACAAATGCAAACGAATCCGAATTTCCGTGTCCGAAATTCGGTAGCGGTAGTTCGTTCGCACGTTCGTTTCGTTTTCGTTTCTTATTCGTTTCGTTCGTTGCAGCAAAGACATTTGAGAAGGAGAAAAACATTTTTCCCCCTCAAATGTCACTTTGCTGCGAATGAACGAAACGAATAAGAAACGAACACGAAACGAACGTTCGAACGAACTACCGCTACCGAATTTCGTCCAAATCCGAATTCCGAATCCGAATTGACTTTCACACCCGAATCCCGAAAAACGAAATAACACAAATCCGAATTTGAAACGAAACTAAACAAATTTTTTGGCAGTGCACATGTCTAATATGTATTTGTATGCATAAATATGCATTTCTATATGCATGCATACATATGTAGATATGGATGTAGATACAGTAAACTACCAGTTACCGATGGGGATTGGTAGGTATCGGCTAACTGTAGTTTCTGGTTGCTTGAGAGTTAATAGAAACTAGACTGTAGCGTCGATTTACTAAAGGCAAATAGGCTGTTCATTTCACAAAGGAATTTGCATTTTTCAAGGGAAGTCCCTTTAGTGTAATAAATGAGGTGAAGGTCTGCGGACTTCCATTACCCAATCATATGCAAGCAAAAATACTGTGTTTAACCACTTCCCGGCCGGCCGTTGTAAAAAAACGGCCGGCCAGGAGCTTTCCCGCGAGCGGGAAATGCCCGTTATTTGAAAAGAGGCGGCGATGCCCGTTAATATACAAGTGATCCGCCGGCTATAGAGCCGGCGGATCGCTTGTATGAGGTCCTGTGATGTGCGCCCCCGGCTCCCCCCCTCCCGCTGTCAAGCTGGTCCCGGGCTCCGCTGTGCCCGGTGCGAGCCCGGGACCAGCATACGGCCTCTGTCACAGGGGATCAGAGGGAGCTCAGTACACGACCTCCTCCGGTCCCCTCTCCGCTGTCAGAATGCGGAAGTGGTGTATATTACATCACTTCCGCATTCTCGTGTCACTCTCCAGCTTCAGATGCTGGAGAGAAGCTGATCTCTGCTTCATCAGCTTCTTCAGGGGGGTCCTACGTGACATTTGGGGTCTTTGATGTCTCCATAAAGAGGACCTGTCACATATTTTGCTATCACATAGGGGGGCTAGAAAACCCCCTTATGTGATAGCAATAAAGTTAAGTGGAAAAAAAAAAAGGAAAACAAAATGTAAGTTCTCCCCCCAAAAAATGTAAAGTTACAAATAAAAAAGAATTAAATTATTATTATTTTCTTTTAAAGTCCCCCCCATACATATACGCATGCAAACATGCGTTGGGTGTGCATACGTGCGAAAACGACAATTTCGCCCATTACGCTGCACATGTTACATATCACCGCGAACGTCGCAGTGAGAGCAATAAGTCTAGGGCCATCAATCACTGATAACATTAAACTGATGAGCGGTAAAAGCTTTTAAAGCGTCGCCTATGGTCAATTTTGGGTATGGTAGTTTTTTGCAATTTCGGTAAAGCATGACATGTTTGGTGTCTATTTACCCGACGTGACCGCGTCTTTTATATTTTACCAAAAATATGGGTAATAATCATTGTTTCCTAACATAATGGGAAAAAAATTCCCAAAAATTTCAACAATTTTTCCTTAATATAGTAAAAAATAAAACCCCCAGTGGTGATTAAATACCACCATAAAAAAGCTCTATCTGTCCCCAAAAAATTGTATAAAATTAATTTCAGTACAGCGTTGCATTACGGAATAAACGTCAGTCAAAGTACCGCAGCGCTGAACACTGAAAAATGGCCTGGCCAGGAAGGGCATCTAAACACCTGGTCTTCAAGCGGTTAAATTTGCCTTGCACCTGGTTGGGTATTCTTTGATATTTCCCCACATTCACCAAGCTAAAGGAAAAGTCTCCTGCAAAGTGAGCAGCCTATTTAGTAAATCAACCCCTGTGTTACCATGACATACAGTAGGTCACATTGCATTTTACTTTTGTTCCTTGTTTCCAAAATGTGATTTAACCCTTTCGCTGCCAAGGACGTATGGCATACGGACCTAACTAGCAGTGCAGCCCTGAAGGTATTTGGCACATTTCTACATAAGATAAATACTTTCCCTGTGCCTCAACTACATCTCTTTGATGTTGTTTATTTTCTAAGATTGACTTGGATACAAATTTGAATTGTTTCCCAAACTTCAGTTATGTCACAAGGTTTATTGTGCCCTATTACCTTTTGGCCTGGGTTTACATTACCTTTACCTATTACCTTGCCTGGGTTTTCTGTATTACCTTCCGAAATGTTGAAATCTGTTATAACTTTCATCTGCATTCCCTTCTGTGTTTTACTAGTACAGATAATAATTACAATGGTTAGCCATAGGCCGTACCCTGTCGCTAACTAAGCGAATCATGATCTAGATGTAGAAGTGAGGAGATTAAGAGGGGACATTATTTTAATGTACAAAATGTTTAGTGGTGAGGGCAACATCAGCAATAAACTGTTTACAGTAAACTCCATAACAAAGACTAGAGGCCACCACCTAAAACTGGTGGAGAAAAGATTTAACCACAAGGGGCGTAGGGACTTTTTTTCAATTAGAGCGGTTAGGGTCTGGAAATCTCTGCCACAAGCAGTGGTATCAGCAGAGAGTATTGAATCATTCAAAAAGCATTTAGATACCTTCCTCAGAGACCGTAACATACAGGGGTACAGGGACTCTTAAAAACAAGGTCACAGGGACTCCAGTACACACATGCAGAATCACATACAGACACACAAAGGTTGAACTTGATGGGCCTGTGTCTTTATTCAACCTCAAATACTATGTAACTATCTAATTATTCTCCATCTCACAATAGCCACTAGAATACAGAGAATCACACACCTAAGGTCTGTATATTAAATCTTTATGATCCCTCTAATGCCTGGCCAGTGCCAATAAGGTGACCATATTCTTTCATAGCAATTCAAAATAGCAGAAGAAACACGCCTACATAGATAATTATTAAAAGGTCCAGTTTATTTAAAGTACATTTAAGACACGCTTAAGCATTTTGGTCGGAGGTCTTTATTAATAGAGATATACAAATTTAATTTAATTTGTAAGAAAAATTCAGCAGCAGTCAATCCTAATCTTGCCAAAAGTTTCACAGAGAACCACAATGAAGATACATCTGGTCTTACATTCTAAGAATTAGAAACAAATGACCCCTAATAACAGGGTGGAGATCTCAAAGCTAAACTAATATCTAAAGAGGCATTTTGGATATATTTGCTGCAAATCAATTTACCATTAGGGCTAAATGTCAAATGGGATATAAACCTGTATGTATGTACAGTGTGTATCTCCATTGTGGGCAAACATTTTTTTGTATATCAGTAATCATAACACACCTTTTGGGCTCACTGTACACTTCTCCATTTTGTCTGCAGGTAGCAGCAGATTTGCCCATTGGCAGTAAAGGGAATTTGTCAGCATTTGTAGGGGACAGAAAATACCCACATGTTTTGGCATATGGGTAGAAGCCTCATTTGGAGACCACAAACAATTGCCCTGAAATGACTGCATCTTCCATTTTGGTCATTCAGTATTCAGGAAAAAGCTTTGAGCTTTGATAGTCAGGGACACCCATACATGAACAAGTTATTTTCACAGAAGATGCAGAATAACCTTTCATGGCTAGTAATCCGTCCTTTATCCTAGCATATGGCATCTTTGGTAAATTGTGTTTTATGTCAAATCGTACATTCCAAAGCAATCTAATACTTAACAAAATGTAAACTGTGAAGTTAGGCCCCGGCAATATCTATGACAAGTCCTATAATGCAACCCACCAACTCTGATCAAAAGCAGACAGATCTTTATGACATTGCTGTGCATTTTTCCCTGTCAGTCCGTGTCTATTTATCTCAATCTCTGTGTGTCAGTATCGTCAGTTTTGGTGTATTTAAAGGAATAACTTACCTCCTGCAATTCAATACATTGGATATTAGAATTCGCCAAGCGGTTCAGTGACCTTTTATAAATAACCTTTCTCTGTCATGCATTGCAGTTATCTGACCATTAATCTCCTCTGATGAATTCGAATATTCTTATATTTTTTAGTATGAGGTACATTATCCCAGATGTTGTATATTAGCTAGTAAAGTTTTCTAACTTTTTTCTTGTTTTTTTTTTAAGGTCCAGAGATGAAATTTAGAGGGGTTTTTCATCCAGTCATCATCTTCCCTGGAAGAATAGCTGATCTCCATGTTGTGACTGAGGATGATACAGGTTAAGTAGGAACTATTTTGCTTTTAAAGCTGAACTCCATGCTAAACAAAAATGTTGTCTAAATATAAGAGCCATGCGTATTTTTACTTGGGATATCAATATCCTTTGCATATTTCTGCAGGAGTTTGTCTTTCTAAAAGACATCAATATTTAGTGAACCTGAGCAGGTTCAAAAGGGAACTAGTGCAACAACTATGTAGAATGACAGGCACCCTGTGATACCTGTGGTCTGTGTTAGTCTTAAAATCCCTATATCTCTGTGGAGTCCTTTAATTCCTATGCAAAGGCTGGACACAGGGCCTGAAAGTTGAATTTAAAAACACTCCACTTAACCCTACCAAGGCTCTAGCGACATCAAATAACAAGAGGTGAAAATTAGCACCAGGAGCGTAAAGGACTTAATTCAAACTTAAAAATACGTTGAGGTTCTGTGCACAGCTCGGTTCTAGGATCAACATAAATACAAATCAGAAACTTGCAGGTCCCCAAGGTTAAGGCTTCAGTACTGTAGTTACCTGAGACACCATGTAGACCAGGTCATGTAAACTTTAGCATTATAATTTTATCATTGTGTGTAAATGTTTTTAAAAAAAACGGGTTTCCATGTATAGTTGTTAATTATCTCAATATATGAGAGCAAAATGTTTTATTTGTTTTAACTAATTGCTGAATGAAAACGATAGACTCTCTGCAACAATGATTGGTAGCACGAGACCGTGTGACCTACGCTATCTAGGCTAAAAGCTGGCAAACTGCCGTGCTCTGTTTATGGCAAGAGAGAGGTATCTTTTCACTCAAACATAGGTGATTTGTAATTAAGTGATTTGGCAATGCTGATATTCGGATTTATGTGAAGTGTGAATTTTATTAATAGGTCCACGATAAGCTACCAATTTGATCTGAATTAAAAAGCATCAGATTCTACAATGATTGTCTAACCCAGTGTTTTGTTTTATAGGAATAATAGTGGGAGCAGCTTGCAGCCTGACAACATTGAAAGCAACCCTAGCTGAAGCTGTCTCTGCACTTTCCGAAGACAAAACCAAGCTGTTCAGAGCCCTTCTGCGGCAACTTTCTACTCTAGGAGGTGCCCAGATCAGAAACACAGCTGTAAGTATGTGCAATGTACTAAAGCTGACCTTCGAAAAGCAGATGCGTTTCTGTCAACAACAGGCAAGAAGATATCTCTTCTGTGTTGCAGGTACCCACCACTGTTTCTTGTGTGATGCACCCAGCAGAAAGTTAAAACTTTCCTTCTTTCTTTTCTGCTGGGTTGAAGAGTGATTCTCCAACAAGCTGGAGAACCTCTGTGAGTGTTAATGAGAGCCTCAAATTCCATAGACCTAGTAATCACTGTCAAAGCATCAGATTGGATATGATTTGGTCAGGATGGAGCAGTTTATGACGACTCCAATTTTTATACGAAACATCAGTCAGCAAGCTCTGTCATTAATTATTCATCTCAATCCCTTTCCAGTCTTTAGGAGGAAACATCATCAGCCGCTCTACAACCTCTGACCTGAACCCGATACTTGCAGCAGGAGGCTGCTTTCTCAATTTTGCCTCGACAGGTAATGGAGTTGAAACTTTTCTGGTCTTTAACTCTAACTTTCTAAAATAAAATGGTTGTTACCAAAAATCATTTTTTAAGTAATGTATGTATATATAAATATATTTAGGATGAACAGATGACAATAAAAGTAAACTTTTATGGTGCGTTAGTTAAAATTAACAAATTAGCAGCCTTGACAGTGAGAAGGGTGGTCACAACTAAGGCCTATATAGTGTATTTTCTTGCCTTAAGAATTAGGCAGGGAAAGGTCACCTCTCATGTGACCTTTATTAGGAGATGTCTGCTGGAAGGAGGGGGAGATGGTAAAAAAAAAAAAATGCAGTTTCCAATCGGGTAAGATACTCCAATTTCCACTTTATCTATGTTCTCCATCCTTTAGTACGTGCAATGCTCCATTAAATTACTGTACACAGTGTTTCATCCAGTTAATACATGTACTGTTGCACTGAATAACTGCAGCTACCCAAACCAGTACTATTATTAGACACTCACCTGCAGGACTCCATTTCAGCCAGCCAAAGAAAGGGCCACACAGTGAAGACCTCTTGAGCAGAGCTGAAGATAAGTATTTAGCTATGTGATTTTCACTAAAGGTGTATAGGGAAGCAGTAAAGGACAATGTCACTTTAATATAAAAGATTTTGATAAATGGGCAAATACAACTAGAAGAAAAAAACAATGTTGAATTTCATATTGAATTTGGTGTTAAGGTAGCAGAGGCTTGTAGAGTGAAACAGCTTTAATATTTAAAGTATATCTATCTTGTTCTGATATCCCATTTGAGTTAACAATAGTGCACACTATGAAATGATTAAAGCCCATGTCCAGATGAACCTTTTTTTGTTTTTGTTAGATTATGAAAGGACTAGTACCTTGGTCAGGTTGTTATTGCCTTCCATGTCCCCATTAGGAACATTCCCTTAACTTTCTGAGCAGCATGGTGAAAGAGAACATCCTCTGCCAAGTCCTAATTGCTGTATCCAGAGTTTTAACCATTGCCCACTCTAATTAAAACTGATTTTTGCAGTAGATGCATCTGTCTACTGCAGCCTTTCTCAATGTTTTTACCCCAGTGGAACCCTTGAAACATTTTTCAGAAGAACTCTTGCTAAAAATTATACCTATAATTTGCAGTACATTACCATAATCATCTAATTGTAGAATGTTTTTAATGTAGGAATAAGTAATATGGCATATCTAGCATATTTAACACCCTGGGCACATCATTTTTATTCCCTCCTGCTCTGTACAACAACACTTTTAGTAATAATTCTGAAATTAAATGAATAATATCAACAAACTCAGACAGAAAAAATTGCACTGTTGCCTAACATTAGTGGTCAGTACTCTTGTAGAAGTGCCCCCTTGCATTGGTGGTCATTGTAGGTAAGAGATCATTTCACCAGTGCTCACAAGAAACCCCTAAAAACCTCAGATGGAACCCTAAGGTTTAACAGCACCCTCGTATAGAAAGGCTGGTCTACAGTTGTCTGCAATACCTGCAAGGATCTATGACTCATCTATCACTCCACCATTACAGAAAACCTGATTATTACTGAGGTTCTATATAATAATGTATGCATAGAGATGATGTCCCATTTTTTGAGGTAAAAGCTTTCATTTCTACTTTCTATCAGATGGTGCCAGACAAGTTCCTTTGGACGATTCCTTTTTTTCTGCATCTGGAAAATCTTTCCTTAAAGCTGAAGAAATCTTGTTGTCTGTACATATACCATACTCCAGGAAGGTATGGTAAACTCTTTAATATGCTTACAGATGAGGGCAGATGTTCAGTGTATTCAGTAAATCAATTATAATGTTAAAGTGCAGATAAATAATTGCTGCTTACTATCAGAGCCCACACTTTGCTCTTTGCCGTATTGAACAAGCCCAATACAGTAAAAAAAAAGTTACAAAAAAAAATGATATTAGAGATAGCATTATGCTCTTTGTTTGAAGGCAAAGTTCAAACCTCACCACCCAGCCAGTCACCAAAGATATATGGATTTTTTTCCATAGGTTATCTTGGAGCTAGAAATATAGTATGTAAAAGGTAAGGTCAGAACAGGATTTTTATACTGTGTGTCTGATTGAGATATATATAT